TTTCTTTGGTACGATCCATACAGGACTATTTATAAGGAGATTCTGATCGTTTTATTATTCCAGTATCAAGAGATTCTTCAATTTGTTTATCAACTTCAATTTTAAAAAATTGTGGCATTCTACATTGTTTTGTTGTAATTGGAATATCAGATGTGATTGGAATTTTATGTTGGTAAACTTTAGTTGATTCTAATGGTTCACCAGGTATATAAAATCTATCTGAATATTTTTTTAAGATTTTTTCAACGTGATTTTTCTCATCTTTTCCTAAATGATTTAATCTCAATAATTCTTTAATTTTTTCAAATCTATCAGTAACTTTGACTTTCTTTATATCATCCATGATTTTAGTCGTTATATGAGTAATTCTAGATTTATTATTGGAATTGTACTTTTTATCATTTTCTCGATCATTTTCCATATTGATATTTTGATTTGAGGATTCTTGTATTTTCTCACATTCACGAATTTTTAAATTGGGTATTTTTATTTTTATTTTCTCGTATGTCGTATTATAAGCTTGCATGTAAGCACGACCCTTACGGTTACGCACGAGACATTCGCCTGCGTAAACTCCGTCACAAATTTTTAAACGAGGTATATATCCCTCTTTAATTTCTGGGTTTTTAATTTTTATGAAGAATGTTGCTTCGCTTCGAGCTGGTATATAAGTAGTGTCATTCTCCGAATTTTCACTTTTTTCGAATGGGTATTTTATATTATTGATTGTTAGGGAATTATTTTCATAATTTTTGCTCCCGTAGTTTTAAAGAAACTTGAGCCTAATAATCCTGCATAAGGAATTGAAATGTCATCAAGTACTACGTGGAATAGTGCCACTTTTCCCAAGACATCTAAGTTCATACTACCCAATGTCATTACTGGAATTTTAGAAATACCGTCTAATTCAATTACGTTTGATTTATCAATCATTATATCCGAATCTACATATTCTGATTTGAGTAAATTTGAAGAAGTTCCTGAATCTAACATTAATTTCATTTCTTTTCAATTTTTAGTATATCCGATTTTTATGAACGGAATGTCTTGATTATTTTTTAAATATACGGAAATTACTAGGAATCGTCGCTCAACTCCGATTCCTGAACCGTAGTTATTGGATGCTGCGCGAACCCATCTTTCCTCCCGCCCGATTGGAAAGATGTTCGTCGGTTTCCCGAATTTTTGTCAGTCAAAACACTACAATTTTTCAATACATGGCCTGTTTTCTTACAATAACGACAAGTTACGTTTTCATTATTCCGCGAAGGTGGTTGGTTGGAACCATTTCTACATTGTTCTGCAGTATGATTGAATCTGTCACATATTTGACATTTAATTTGATTTTGTTCAGTTTCTATTTCGAAAGAAACAATTATCAGTGGTGTGGTTCATTTTACGACAAATTTGACAAGGTTCGTTATTTCGATTATTTGAATTTTTCAGTCGAGTGAAACACGTTTTTGCGGAATGTCCATTCTTTTTACAAATTTGACAAATCATTCCGGGAATTGGTTTAAAATTTGGATTTTGAAAATTTCTTGAATTATTTCGATCATTATGATTGTGATTTTTATGATTTCCATTATTTACGAAGTTTACTGATTTAGAATCGATCGTTTTCACGTCGGTTTTCCTTGTTTGGTCTTCACCACGCAAATCTTTCTTTGCTATTAACTTTCTTTCAATGATGATAGCCCTATCATATGCATCTTTTAGTGTAGCACACGCTGGCATACGTTGATCAATTTCTGGCTTTAAGCCTTGTATGAAACATTGTTTAATATTATCTTGAATTTTCGTCTCATATTCAGTAAGTTGAGCCGCTGTCGAAGCTGGATTATTTATTTTATAAGCTTCTATAATTTCTTGCCCTTTTTTCCTCAATCTATTTGAAAAATTTACGACAGTTTCATTTTTTTTTTGGAACATTTTCCATAATTCTCCCTGCAATTGCCATTCAGTTTTTGTAGGAGTGTAAATTGCTTTTAACGCGTTTATCAAATCTTTAATGTTAGTATATTTTACACCATTTAATGATTCTTTGAATGATTGACTCAAACACTTTCTTTGAATTAATTTCGTAATATTTTCTTCCGCTTCTTCGCAATTTAATATAAAATCGAATAATTCACCCGGTTCTCCTTTGAAAACTGGGATGCATGAAACTGCATCTTTTAAAGATATCAATTGATTAGTACTCAGCGTATCAGGCATATTTGCTACGTTATTTTCTACGATATTTATCGGAATATTTTGATTAGAATCGTCTAAATTTGGGATTTCAAGGTTTTCTGGATTTCGATTTTCTAACGTTTCGTTCAATTCTTCCCCCGTTAATGTTTCATCTATTTCTTCTATTATGGTATCATTAAATTCATCACTTGGTTCGTCACTTGATTCGGCACTATCTTCACTCTCTACCGGGAAACCGGGAAAATCGCTTATTCGTGTTGAAAAACCTAAACCCGAATCAGTTGTTTGATTTTGCGTTAATTCTTCTTTCGTGTTTCTCCCCACTCGCTTTGGTGGAGTATAAGGACCTAATAAAATACCACTGTCACTTCTTAATTTACGTGTATTTTTACTTTCGTCGGAAGTTGACGGTTGAAAATTTGGTGTTCCTACACTACGAGCAATAAGCTTTTTCTCGCGTCGATTTTCCGCTCTTATTCTCGGTAGGTCGGCCAAAGTTATCTCTTTACTCGCTTTCAGTTCCTCGACAGATGCTTTTTCCGACATTTGTATACATTTTTATCAAATATCACGTATTTTCGCGTAAAATTATTTTTATTCGCGACGAACGGAATTCTGAGAATTTAATTTTTATTTTTACGCGTTCTTTTTTTCTTTATCCACTTTTCCTTTCATTTATTTATTTATATTTTTGTTATACCAAGTGAATTTCAAAATTATCCTTTATTACAACGAATGAATTTGCTAAAATATTTCCAATTGAGACAGAAATGTGAGAAGCACAATTGTTTGAACATTTATTAATTTTCTTCAATATAGTGATTGAGGCTTTTTAGCTTTGGACGAGCCCCCAACAAAATGTCATGTCAGAATGGACGAAACCTTTCTCCAATAACACTGTATGTCAGCCATGAAAAACTGACCTGAAAAAGCATGAAAACTTTTTGATGAAATAATTTTTAGAGTCGAATGTTTTAATCTCAAAATGGAAATATCTCGAAAGATAAATAGTTGGAGTTTCAAATCGAATTGATAAAAGGTCAATTATTGGGAAGTTTACAAATAGCACTTGAATGTTCTCTTATTTACTCGTTGTCTTTTTAATCTGTCGAGAGGATAATTTCGAAAAGGATTCACAAGGTTTAAATTCAAAATGATTTTAACACTTTATATTTTCATCAGTAAGAGTGAGTTTACAATCTTAGTAACTAATGATTTTTGATTTACATAAATTGTTTCGTTGATCGGTGACACTTACGATATCGATTGACAATTGTTTCAAAAATGTTTTCGTATCATTTAAATTATTTTGAATGAAGATAATTATTTTCCAAATTCTATCGATAAGATGTATGAGTATTTTTTAAAGAAAGAATCATAAAAGATTCTATTTAATTTGAAATTGAGTCTTGAAAGACTTTAATTAGTAATGAGTCATGAAAGACTTTTTATAGAAAGGAAAGTTATGAAAAACTCTACGTATTACTTTGAGATTATCGAAGAATATAATGATGATATCGTAGTGTAGACTTTTGAGGTTGAAATCTCAAAAGTAAATGCACAAGCCAACGGCTGAAGTGCAAGTCGATTGTCGGAGTTACGACGACTTTGACGACTGGTGACTTGTAGATGATGGAGGTGTACTGGTAACTGAATTCGGTGCCCTCGAGCAGCCCTTATATATCCTTGATTTGACCATGATGCATGGGGTGTTACCCTGGTGACCAAGTATTTTCTTATTTTTTTGGTGTTAGTCCACGTAAGATTTTTATAATTGTAGAACTCCCTCGAGCTTCGACACATGGTGAGTCTCCCCTCGTGACAACGTGACTATCTCGGTGCTGGTTGGTCGAGACTCTTGTTTCTATAACTTTATCGGTTCCCCACGTGTCCGATTCTCGTAAGGTATCTGTCCCCCGGTATGGTGCCGATCTTTCTCCAAAGTATGATAATGGCTTTGGAGGTGCCGCGATTATTCGAAGGGGAGCGTTTGTCNAATCTCAAAATGGAAATATCTCGAAAGATAAATAGTTGGAGTTTCAAATCGAATTGATAGAAGGTCAATTATTGGGAAATTTGCAAATAGCACTTGAATGTTCTCTTATTTACTCGTTGTCTTTTTAATCTGTCGAGAGGATAATTTCGAAAAGGATTCACAAGGTTTAAATTCAAAATGATTTTAACACTTTATATTTTCATCAGTAAGAGTGAGTTTACAATCTTAGTAACTAATGATTTTTGATTTACATANTGGGACAGGTATGTGTTTACAAAAAGAATGGGTCTTTTGTAAAGAAAATTATTTAGGAAAAATGTATTTTACTGCATTTTTCGACAGACGTCACACTACCAATGGCATTGGTAGAAATGAAAAATAAAATAGACAACTAACGCACGTAGTAATGGTCAAATATCTTCTGCCGAATAGGCTCGGTAAACTGCTTTTTTTTTCATTGCACAATCATAATTTTTAAGGACTCCTGCGTGATGTAAAATCCAATAGAATCTGTGATATATTTTACGTTATGAAGATGGAAAAACAATCGAGACAACTTTCGAAAGATAATCCACCAAGCCCGTAAACAATTATTTTTTCAATTATCGTCGAAAAACGATGGTTCACATACACACATACACACATACATACACCTAAAAATACAATATTGAAACTCCTGACGCCAAAATTAATTATCCCCATCCAAAAAATTGGAAATTTCGGATTTGTCGAATACATGCTTCCATTCGAAAGTAGAAAGAGATTAAATAAAAAAAAATTCTCATGATTTTTTAATTCTATGTTCTAGACCTGCGAAGCAAGACCCCGAATCAGACATCACAGAGGTGACTCCAGATGCACGAGATGTGCCCCAGGATGGGGCGTATCAACGGCCTGCACTCCGCAAAAAGACACAGAATGCGGTAAATGTGTGCGAGGCACTTACAGTCCTCACCACAACCTCCAGCCCTGCTGGATTTGCTCTCGATGCGGTCCAGGCCTCTACGAAGCTCATCCCTGCACCTCGAAGACCGACACAGTCTGCGATTCGTGCCACCGCCACGCCCTGGACAATGCCGACTACCACAGAAAGTGCAAGGGCCACAAGAATTTATTTCTAGCCCCTGAAGATGCCAAAAGTACTGGTGAAGAGAGCTCTCTCGTTAATGAGGACGACGACGAGCTGGAGGAGAGAGAAGAGAAAGAGCGCGAATTCATTCTCGCACAAGACATCGAGGCTGACATTCGTGAAGCTCAAAAAAACTCAATGCAGAGGTTTTAGATTGAATCAATGAGTTATTTTCGAGAGAAACTAGTCAAGACGATCTTTCTTAACAGCAGTTGTACATATATATTTATTCGATCTGGGAATACAATTTGATATTTCAAATCACAATAGATCTCGAAGCCCAATCGAATTCACAATAATACTCGTCATTCGTTCGCATCAATCATCTAAACTAAAAAAACGTCTAAAACTCAATGCATCCTGCGCTCAGAAATAAACATGTACAGAATCCTAACTTTGCACTCGCAGTATATATATATTTATATTATCTTCATTTTGTTTTTATTTTTTAACTTTTATCTATATCTTTTTGTATATATTTAGTTGATCACATATACAATTTTCTTGTATATAACCAAAGACATTTTCTCAGCTCATACGTACGGTTTTATCAATAGTTTTAATGATAATGATTCGTTTAATTCGTTCTGTGGATTTATTTGGACCAAAAAAATTAATTCATCATTTGCGGTTCCGTTAACAAGTGCAAAATCATGGCATACCAGTTTCACTGAGATGATAATCATTCTTGTTAATGAAAGCTAATCTCTACAATAGTGCCAATTATTGATAAAATATTATGTCGTAATAATTTTTGTTTTGAATTTGTCTCATTTGTCATGTGAGAAATTTCCAAGGATCTCAGAGACGTAAATAAAGCGTAAGCTAGTGATCAGTGTCGAGTAGATTAGTTTTAAGTGTAATATATACTTTAGGATTTATCCAATTATTTAATTATATAACATAGTTATTATATTTGGTTCGGCGACCTCGATAAAACAGGCGGTCGAGGGAGAGTTTATTCATCATCAAACGATATTTCCATTGTTTCATCTCGTACAATTGTCGAGCAGGCTGATCCAGATGGTTTCAGAGAATGATATTAATGAAGTATTGTCGTGACAATTGTATGAGAGCGTTTTGTGTTGAGCCAGCAGTGGAGAAATTAGGGCGATAAGGGTGTGGCAGGCAAGGTGAAAGCTGAACGCTTATTAATTATTATCAATTTGTTAATTCGACTGCGAGCGTGAGCGAGATATTTCTACCACTGGTGAAAATTTCTAAATGAAGTTTTCGATAAAAGTGCTTCAAATTCACGGCGCACTGAGAGAAAAAACTAGTTTTGACAAAGAAGGTTTACTTGATACAAGAAAATATTCATTACAATGAAAGATGTTATTTTCCATCGATATATTTACATTCTGTATTATCCCCGGGCTATGTACTCGGTCAAACCTTGGATATTTTCAAGGTACAAATTACATGGAAATTATCCTGTGTATGAGGAAAACAATTAATTAATTATCAACAAATAATTAATTATTATTAATTATATCCAAAACGAGTTCAAGTCCGTGTGCCTCCGAATTTTTTAAATTGTGTATTGATAATTAATTCATTGTTTCCCTCATATAGAGGTCCGAAAAGTTGAAGGATAGTATATAGCATCCTGCTTTCCATGTAATGTATTCCTTAAGAATATGTAAGGTTTGGCCGAGTAGATAGCCCGGGGATAATACAGAAGAAAATATTCTCTTGTCAATTTTAAAAATCGTGCAGTCTCCTGATGAATAATTTCGTTCTCAGACTGACAGAACAAGTTTTCCAACAGGATGCGATTCTCTTGTCCCGAGAGAATTTTTAAGCGCTCTCAATACTAGAAATTATGTCCTTCCCATAAATTCATGTAGTTTGCGTTATATCTAGAATTTTTTTTTCATCAGGACTTTGACTACATAAAATCTTGCACAAAGAGCGCAAAACTTGAGATCAATTTTCTGTACACTTGAACTGATAAGGAAAGTGTTGGTCATGCGTTCAAAACAAGAATTCCTGAGGGGTAGATGTTGAGTGATCAGATCGGCAAAGTGTGAATTCTCTCAATCCATTAAATTCTAGATTATTCAATTCTAGTGTTAAAATCTAGATTATTTCATTCTAGTGTTATGCTAACACTTGAAAATTTTCTCGGGAGCCGAGAATCTCATTCTGTTGAAAGACTTCTTTCTCTCAGTGTGAGCACAATTATTTATTACAATTACAATTACAATCCATTATTTAGCAGGAGATTTCACGATTCTAGAAATTGGCAAGAGAATATTTTCTTGTACGAAGGAAATCATCTTTGTCAAAAGTAATTTTTTCTCTCAGTGTGTATACGAATTTTCAGATTTCCACAGGGAATCGCAATAAAATGCACGTAACTAATACAGCAGCATTGAATATTCATACGGGATTGTTCAGGAAAACTGAAGACTTCGTCCGATTTTCTGATATTGCAATAACATTTCATTAGTTTACCGGCAGGAATGCAAGGCAACTTTGAATATTTTATGAGAAGTTTCAGTCGGTAAGGCTATTAAGTTTCAATTTAGTCCGTTGCATAAAAATTCCTGGTTGAATAACAAGATCAGATATGAAAGTTGGAGGAGAAATGCTGATAAATTGTGAAGTTGTAGCTAACTGAAGAAACATCTGCATTGAGGTTTCTTCATTTTCATCATCAACAATAAAACAAGTTGCGTTTTCTGTAATATTACTTTATTTCCGGCAATTTTGAATGCAATCCTGGATATTCAGAGGTTTGGCTTGAATTAAAAAAATCTCGTATTGGAAACTTTAAACAGAAATTTTCAACAGTACTCTATGTTCGTTCATTCTAAATAATAGAAATGTCAAGCGTGTAATTATTTTATGAATTCAATGTGAACGGGCAGTCTTATTTCACTTTCAAATTGTACGAGTTTAGTTTTTAAGGACTAATGTACGACTTTTCTGTAAACACACGATTTTACATCATAAACACACAATTTCGTTCATATTATTTTGTCTCATTTTTCAATATCAATTGTCCCATTAAAACTACTATTATTATCGGGCTGAATGGTAACAATAGTACCCCGTGAGGCCGTTTTACTCTGGAGATATATGTCTGACTATATTGATATTTATGACTTCGTTTGGATAATCGTGGAAGTGTTTTTGAATCAATGCAACATGTGTATGAGATATTATATTGTTTAATAATATAAATCAATAATGTCTTACAAACATACATGTACATGGGGCTCGACGATAAAAAATAATTCAAATAATTACACAGAAATTATTCGCTCGTTTACAGTTTGGCGATAATAAATTCATTTTTATTGCAAGTATAATGGAGAAACTGAATTTGAAACTAATAGGGGGAAAAACATAACGCAACATATACAAGGAATTAAGACAAAGGCTTTCTTTTGGATATTTTAGCACGATTTTTACCATTTATCCTCCTCTCACTCTCGTATTCATGATTCTCTTTAGACTTTTATATATACGAATTCATGGTACATATATACTTCTTTATATTTCTTGTGAATATATGACGAGGCATAGTCTAATGATTCGAGCATTATTCCCTTTTTGGATTTTTATCTCACCATTTTTCTCTAAATCCTTTGTACAATAAAGGTTTCTCGAAGTTTCAATCAAAAATTATCATTTGAATGTTCAAAAGACAAATTATTTTGAGAAACTCTGTAAAGCATGAGTTCATTTATTCACGTTGATTGAATTTTAATATTCAATTTTTTTGTTATCAGTTTCTTTGGATACTGAAGAAAGTTGATTATCATATAATGACTCGTTGAGATTCACTTTAACGTCCTGTCGAACCGGTTCTCCACCGGATGTGGAGCTCATATTAATAACAATTAAAAATAAAATCAAAACCTCCTCAGTATCCCATAATTTCCTTACCCTCAATGATGATCGAAATTAAGAAAAAAAAACCTAATTCACTGAATTATTTTAAGCTACGCTATAATTCTTTTATAATTTCTCTGACTGATATGAAAGTGAATGTCTACAAACAAATTTTTACAGATTCCACGGGTGAATAAAATAATATACATACACCTTGGGGCGGGGGATCGGGGGAATTACGACAGACACTCATAGAGCATTTAACAGTGCAGCAACGAAGAAAAAAAATTATAAAAATAAATTCAAAAAAGAAGGGTAGCGACAGGTTTCAGCGGGGATAGTTTCTCCATAAATTTACGAATTTACTCGCATATTCTTCTCATTAATAATCTCTTACGTCAACTGCCATCAACAATCAGGGTGACATTTATTTACAATTATGATACTACCTTTACAATTGGATTATCATTCATTTTCACTGCAGTGAGACATTTTAATCATATCCCTCCAAGAGAACCGAAGGAAAAAATTCATTGAAATTAAAAATAGAATAAAAAAAGTAACGACTCGTATCATTCTGACACCTTCCACCATTTTCTGCAAGCCCTAAAATAATTCTGCACACTCAATCGACTGATAAATCAGTGAAAAAATTTCTAGTGACAGTGACAAAAGAAAAATCTAGGGCGTGAGCCTTCAGATTCATGAAAAAAAAAATTCTTCATTTTTGAGCTTCATTAAATAACATTGGACTTAGGGATAAACGAATATTGATATTGTACAGCTATTATCGTCACGCCCAGGGAGAGGTAAAAGCCCACACGTTCGTTCTCGACACAGGGGCGTTCAGGCAACAGATAATGTAAGAAATAAGGTGAGAAAACGAGACATACAGCGAGAAGACAGACCGCAGAGCACAGCTAGGAAGACTCACAGAAGTAAATCTACTGATTTCTATCAATTAAAATAATTATAACTCGTTGGACCTACTCTAGTCATTCCTCAGTGCTTCACGGTGGGAGAATTAAAAAATAAAAAACAAAAGAGGGATGAGCGACACTTATCAACTGAATCAATACAAAAATTAGTAAGAATTAAATTCTGGACTTAATACTGTCCTTGGTAGCCAATCTTCGTCTTTTCAGCTAAGTGTGATATTCTCATTCACCAAAGGTAACAGATATTTTGTTCATTTCTTCATCAACAATGTCGTCATCAATCATTACATCTTGAATTATCTCGAATTATCAGGCTCGGGATGATTAAAGATGCCTTATGCACGTGATGTGCCGTCATGAGTATAATCTTGGGGTACATGCGGATACATCACCGAGGTAATATCAACAACAGTGTCCTCGTTGTACGTTGAGAACGAACAGTAAGGTCCCCACGGGGTTTTGAGGGTTGCATAAATTAACAGAACACTCGTGAGTTAATGTTTCTGTGTCCTCGTTGTGTACCTGAGGGGCGCATTAAAATTGGTCCACCAGGAGATCGCATACCTCTATTGACATTGACTCTTTGCTGGAACGCACTGTTAACCGGAACATCTGGAATTTTAGTCAATTGATGGTTGAATAATAGTAATGCATAATTGGTTAGTTATTACTGTCTATTTTGCCTCAAATGCGTTGAGACTCTGGACAATGGAAAGTGGATGGACAATATTAGAAGGATATTGTTCAATTGTTGATAATAAAACATTTGAAATAAATCTCGGGTTAAATATTCTGCACTGAGACGTCATAGTGGAGATTTATCACAATTCACCCTATCGGGACTGTGAAAAAAAAAAAAAATTTTATCAAACATTTATTTATGTGAGAGAAGCATTTATTTTTTCAAACTCGTATTTCTCCAATCGAATCACTCCCAGGCGAACCTGATTAGGTTTCAATTATGACAATCAGGTTGCTGCAGAGGATGACTATGTTGAACATGACCTTGGATGAACTTTCGAGAAGTTCATTGGCCATGATTATTCATTTTTCAATTTCTTATTTTCTACAGGGAAGAATTTCAATTAATTTTTCAATGTTTATAATTATTGAGGGAGTTCACTCAAGGTTATAAATACCATGATCATCTTCTAGAGCAATATAATTGTCATAATTGAAACCTAATGAGCATTGCCAGGGAATGACTCGACTGAAGAAATACGGTATTGAAAAAATTAATACTTTGCTCAAGTAATTGGATATTTGGCAAAAATATTTTTTTTCTCAGTGGAGATTATTGATTTATTCTAATTGTTTGAAAGACAAAATTTCGTGCAAAACCTCAATTCAATAGTGAATTGATAAAACAGGATAATTCAGCCTGAGTTCAGGGCAAATTTTCGATGACAATTTCCTCAATTCTGATTTTGATCAATCAGAGTGCGGTATTCGGGGTCACGTGACACGTATCACACTGATAATTTCTCTGTAGCCTGTCAATTGTTTCCTACGAATTTGACAGATACTCCTCACATTTTGGTGAAATGGGTCCCGTAACCCCGAACACCGCACCCTGATCGGCCAAAATCAGAATTGAAGAAATTGTCCTCCGAATACCCCTCGACCTTCAAAATTCATCGGATGTTTCCCTCAAGTTTTCCTCCATATCAACGATCGGGATCAGTTTTTTCAAAACTGGTCCCTCTCGTTGCTATGCAACAAAACATTCGGGAAATATCCGATAATTTTGAAGGTCTTGGGGTATTATAGCTGAATATTTCTCAATGTAAGATGGCAAATTTTTCACAATGATTTTTTTTTCGAGTCAATGAATCGATCTAGGAATACCACTTGGTATTTTGCCTCACGAGGGATCTGAAAACCCAATCGAGTTCACAAATTATTGTGTACATGAACGACTATCAACTCGTTCATTCGCTCGTATCGATCTAAACTTAAAAATGTTATATATAGTGATATTATTTCCGTTTTGAATTCATTTTTCAACTTTCGTCTGTGCGAATATTTAGTTGATCACATATATGATTTGCTTTATGTAACCAAAGACATTCTCTCAGCCCATACGTACGGAGTTATCAATGATTTTAATGGTAACAATTCGTTTAATTCGTTCAGTGGATTTGTTCCGATCAAAAATTCTAGTCTCACTGATATATTAATCTTTTTAAGGAGATTCAACCATTTTCAATCATCAAAATTATCAATTAAATTGCGTGAGAAAAATTTGAAAAAAAATCATGAATATTCAGCATCATTTAAATAACATTCATTGTTTATAAAAAAATAATTGAAATTGTTTGAACTTTCGAAAATCTTATTTCTTTGTGCATTAAATCGATTTCTGGTAAAATTCTGAATATGAATAAATTTGTTACGATTCCGAAGAAATTATTTTTATGGTGGAAACTCGATCGCTTACAAATTATTCATAGAAAATGCTCGTAATTTTTAAAACTTGCAATTTTGTAATTATTTCATCAATCTTCCTCTAAAAGTAAACTTTTCAATTTTCTTTTCAGATTTTTTTTTAATGTTTTCTAACAATTCAATATCGAGATTCAAATTCAGACCTGCAAAGTTTAATTAATATAAAATCATTGTAAAATATCCGGAAACTTGAGGTCAAATGGAGCTCACCCGGTGGCTTGGCGTAGTGGGTAAGTTCGTTGCCTCACATGCGAAAGGTTCCGAGTTCAAATCCCGGCCGGGTAGAATGGTGCGATCTAACCATTTAAAGTCTTGATCATCATCGCAGTATACCCTAACCGGGTCGAAGCGATGTAAAATAACAATTAAAAAAAAATCGAGCTCAAATGAAGCCTCTGATTTTCGACTACAACAGTACACGGAGAGAAATATTCAAGAAAAATTATGGAACATTTCACGTAATCCGCAAGCGAGAATCATTTTCAGTGAATTTCTATAGCAATGTAAGAGAATAAATCTGAAACGTTCAGTAAATTTTCGGGTCTGTCACCGAAAAAATACGAAAAAGTCACGTAATTTTTCTGGAAGTTGTAAAATCTAACAGAAACTTCAAGACTTATTATGCTTCAGAACATGAAAATTCTTGGATGTTTAAGAATTTTTACGAAAAGTTCCGGAAAAATTACGGAACGTGTTGTTAAAATCCCCCCCTCATGGTGACTCATGGCTAGCCGTAAGGCGTCGGACGGATAAGTAATTTTTACGGAACAGATCGTAGAATTTACGTGACGATTGACACTTTTTATTGAATTTTACTTCGCTCCCAGATTACGTTTCGAAACGTAATTTTTACGTCTTTTTTTTGGTAATTCTTATTGAATATTTCTCTCCGTGTAGAATTACATTTCACTGGAGAAAAACTAGCCGAAGTACTTGGATATCCTCAATTAATGAAAATTAGTCTGCAATAATACCAATAATAATGCAATAATTTTCAAGTCTAATGATTACTTTAGTATTTGTTCAGTTATAGTATCTCGATGATCTGCTCGACCTTGACATCTTCTATCGTCACATCCTGCTGGATTGTCCCTGAAGATCGTACCTTGTAAGCCTCTGGACCGAAACTTCGTAAATTCATAGGTTGTCTAAGCGTCTCCCAACCGTGGTCCAGGACTAATGACGCCTTCACCGTACATGCAGCACTCCCTGGTTCAATCAGTCCGATTACTTCTTCCTTCCCCACTAGTACCTTCTTGATGTTCTTGTCGACCATATTTCCACAGCGGATCCCCACGAAGTTGACAGTTGTAGGTCCCTTCTCACGCTCACCGGGTATGTGTTTCTTTTCGCACACCTTGCAGCGTCTGGGTTTCTGCGGTTTCGGACAATCCCTTGATTCATGTCCGTAGTGACTGCAGTTGAAACATTTTAGTTTCCCAAATTCGTCGTAATTCGGTGAACGTCGTGGTGTACGTGTGGATGACTTCTTTGTAATGTCCTTGGAGTCTCTAGACTCACTAGTCGTGGACGTGGTCGTCTTCGGTTTCGCGGAGGATGACGTCGTCGATGTTGTAGGTTTCTCTCGTGTATTCTTTATTCGTTGTGTGCGTTGGTTTCTTGAACTTTGGTCTTCCAGCATGCTGTGGTATAGATCGGTCAAATCATAGTGATCTCGTGCCCTCATGGCCTCATACAGTTCCTTGGACCAAAGCCCAATTAGTATTTGTTCCTTAGTATCCTTGAGGTTTAGGTTCAAGCATTCGCATCTCTTTGCCTTGTCGTAAAAGTACTTCGTGAGATCTTCGTCCTTGCCTTGAACTCTCCTCTGCAAGTCGTTCCATTGGACTGTTGCACTCTCGTTGACGATGAACGTATCCTTGAATTTCGTCAGGAAGTCGTCGAAAGTATCGATCTCGTCCGCAATGATCTGATACCAGTTTTTCGCCCCTTCCGTCAGATTCATCGTGGCGGTCTCCAATGCAATTTCGTCTGACAAATGTTGTCGTCTCCTCATACCGTTCAGAGTTCTCAGCCATTCCCGTGCTTCTCGAGGTCCTCCGGTGCCGTCGTATGACGAGATGCGTTTCGATATATCTGGCATAACGTTGTAGTTTGTGTTACGGATTAGCTCTGCCATCATCTCATCTCGTCTACGGTTATCGGCGAGGATCATAGCTACTAGGTTTTCATGCAAATTTTCTGCTGAGGTCGTAGAGTTCGCGTTTGGGTGCGAAATGTGGTGATCGTTGAACCGATTTTCGATTGGGTTCTGGTACGGATTATTATTATACAGTGGTGATCTATGACCAGCCTGCGTCGTTGGCGGTCCTCGTTGATCACGTTGCATCGTTGGTGGTAATCCATGGCCAGCCTGCGTCGCTGGAGGTCCTCGTTGATCACCATGTATCGTTGGAGGCATGTTGTGACCGACCTGAATCATTGGTGGTGCGTGATACCCCATTTGTGCTATAGATTGTGGTTGATAGCTCACGAATAACATTTGTGGATAACCTTGATATCTGTTGGTATCATATAGAGGTTGAAAATTTTCCATTGGAGGGTAACTATATCTAGATTGCATATTTACCGACGATAAGTAGTGCTTATCAAGACTCTGTCGATACTTATCGTTTGAAAAGAGACTTCGTGGTGTCTGCATGCCTCGAGGTAGCTCGTACTGGTGGTCTCTCGCCCACGTGACTTTTGATTTTGTGGTAACGAAGGGTGTTGAAGCTCGTCCTTTTGATGTCGCGCCTGCTGAAGCCTGGTTTTCGTTCAAGGTCGTCAGCGGATCGTTGGCGTTCATCTGATTATGCGTTTCACCTCCTCGTCCATTTGTCGATTCCTGTGCCGGTGTCATTGTCGTTTCTCCGGATTTATCGGGGCTGAGTACGTTAGTTAAGTCCTCCGCGAGGCTCGCGGTGTTTTGCACAAATTCCTCGAAGTCCTTTTCGTTAATACCTCCCGACGCCATGATTGTACCTCGTTGTGTCCCTCGTTCCAAGCGTGGTTACTCCTATACCCTTGTTTGTACTTCTAATATCAATGGCTCAGTCTTCCACTTTGTGGTGCATTTTCGATTATTATCCCACTTCTGATTTGTTATAAGCGTGTTGACGTTCTTGTCAGTTTACTCGAGTTCCGTGATATTCGAAGTTAAGGGAGTACTTGGGTTAGTGACGTCGAGGTAGAAGGAGTGTACACTCACGATATTTGTAAATTAACTGAACTTTAATGCTAAGTAACTGCGACGGCATTACAGTAAGGAGAATAGAAAATTGAAATAAAGAACTTTGAACTCGATGTTGATATATAGCAATATTAATGTTCGTTAATAATCCTAGGCAACTCAAACGTTAGGATTCACTCTGCAAGGGACAGTGTACTCGCGCTCGTCTATCCCAAGACAGTCTCCCCAACAGTAGGTCCCTCGCCACTCGCCTCGAATTACGAATTTGTATCAATCGGTCACGTGTCGAACTGACCGCGGGAAATGTTGATGGCTGACAGTTATTTAATTATATAACATAGTTATTATGTTTGGTTCAGCGAGCCACATAAAACGCACGACAGAAGCGATGTTCTTTCATTATGGAACGATATTACCATTGTCTCAACTCATACAATTGCCAGGCAGTTTAGATGGTTCGGATGATTCAGAGAATGAAATTAATGCCGTATTGTCACAAGAATTATATAAGAGCATTTTGCGTAGATTCCACTTTGGTCCACAAAAATTTTCGATGTCTCTCTCAGACTCTTGGGGATTCACTCGAAACCGATCGTTTCTCGAGTGAAATTGACACATCCGTATTCATCATTTCACTGATTTAGCCATCTGTTATTAATGAGGATTGGTAATTACCTGTGCTTGTTTATTGGGCTCCAGGCGCAGAAGACAGCCGACCTGTTGTGCTCTCATGTGGACAATTCCAGCGCATACGAAATTGTCGGGATTTGGATCGATGCCGTCCAGCAGCTGCATTCCAAAGCCCTGGAGCTTAGTGCGCACCTGCTGGAGGTCCATGGGCGTTTGGGCTTTGAAGATTTTCTGTGAACGCTGCTGATTTGCACTGAAAATGAAGAGAATAGTTATGAATATTTATGGTCTCTGTAGGGATAACATGACAAGAAGCAATCAAATGAGTTCACTGAGAGAAAAAATTAGCTCTGCAGAGAAACTGTATGTTCCACGAGGAGTATTTGATGGAGTGGAACAGATCTACTTGAGGGAAATTAACCAACTTAATAGAAGGAAATTTTATATCTTACACAAAAATTGAATTTTTGTCGTGATCAGAAATATCCCTAGACGAATCGGAACTGTTGGCAGGAAAAAATATAGTCTATTGTACGACAATCTTTTGAACTGAGAGAACTCCATAGGTTTATACCATAGAAAGAAAACACTGACGAGGAAAAAATATTCCTCCCCCCCCCCC